CGTTGGTCGAGGTTCCGTCCAGGCCCGCCCGCTTCCCCGAGGTAGCCCCTGAGCTCCTTCGGGCACACGAGGACGCGGAGATTGTGCGTTACTCGTTTAGCAAGAAGGGGCAGGTCACGTCCAGGGAGGTCTCGTGGTCCTGGGACGTGGGCTCTGCCCCGACCAGCCTCTCCGTCGCCTTCGGAGAGTGGGCGGCTGCTGCAGAAGGCACCCTGGTCGGCATCCACGGCATCGGCCAAGCTGACCTGGCCCGTCATCTCGGCAGAGGAGAGGGGCCGAGGCTGACCCTCAAGCCGCTCAGCGCCCTTGTCAGGCGGGAAGCCAGGTTCAGGTTCAGCCTCCTCACGCACCGCCTGAGGAGTTGCCTCGACGTGGCCCTCCAGCGGCTGCGCGCGGAGAGCTCGGGCCGATTGCACCCTCGGCATGCCGACTGGTACGAGCACCAGGCTGAGCTCAGGGCGCAGCTCTTGCGGGAGGCGGTGCAGGAGGCGGACGACTCGGTCGGTCAGGGTCTTCCTGGTGCTGCGCCTGAGCGGTTGAGCGACCTGGTGTACCAGGCGGGCGTCCGCGGCAGTCCTGAGGCAGTTCGTGACCTCCAAGGGCTGCTCTATGCTTCGCAGCGCCGCGATGCGGCTCAGAGCGCCCAGGCCTGGCGCAGCTGGGCCCAGACAGCGGTCGAAAAGGGCGGCCGCCTGGCCCACCGCTTCTCGAAGGCGACGCCCCCGCCGACGGTCAGGGATGCCGACTCGGGCAGGAGGCTGGTGGGTGTGGCAGCGATCGGCGAACTCACGAGGGTCTGGCAGAAGCTTTGGCTCCAGGACGGGTTTGCCTCGGGCGCAGGGGCCAGCAGCTGGGATGTGGGCGAGTGGCAGTTGCCCCCCATCTCGCTGGAGCAGCTCCAGGCAGCCTGCAAGCGCTACAGCCCCTCTGTGGGCCTCGGGTGCGACTCCCTGCGCCCTCGGCAGATCCTCCTTCTGCCAGTGGCGCTGCAGCTGCGCATCCTGGACATCCTGGCGGCCTACGACGAGGCCCCTGCGTCGATCCACGGGCAGGTCTCCCTGATGGTGTTCATCCCGAAGGCAGACGGTGGGGTAAGGCCCATAGCGCTGCTGCCGTTGGTCCTGCGGCTCTGGTCGCGCCTCCGCCAACCGTGCTGTGCGCGCTGGGAGGCGGACCACAACTTCCCCTTCTTCTGGGGACGTGATGGGCGGGACTGCGAGAGGGCTGGTTGGTTGCACAACTGTTTCGCGGGGTTCGCGAAGTCGAACCTGCAGTTCGAGGCCGCGAGCCTCTTCCTGGACATCAGCAAGTTCTACGAGCACGTGCGCCACGACGTTCTCTGGGCGAATGCGGTACGGTTCGGGTTCAACCTCAGGTTGCTGCGCGGCCTCCTCACGTCCTACCAGGCCCCTAGGATGATCCTCGCGGCGGGCATGGCCTCCCCCGCCTTCGGTACTACAGGAACGGTGCTGGCTGGGTGTGCGTGTGCGACAGCAGTTGCGAAGCTCCCAGTTCTGGGAGCCCTCCTGGCAGCGGGGGCTACAAGCCCGTTGGTCACGCCGAGGAATGTTGTCGACGATATTTCTCTCCAGGCGGTCGGCACGGCTCGGCTCGTGAAGCTGCAGATGGTGGCCGCCAGTCGGGAAGTGGTCCGACAGCTGCGCGAGCAGCACCTCCCACTCAACGAGAGTAAGTCGGTCTTCTTGGCCTCGTCGCCGCAGCTCGCCAAGGAGCTCTCCGAGGCTTGGGCGGAGCATGGCTTTACCTTCAAGAGGGGACTTCAGGCGAGGAACCTCGGCACCGACGCCAACATCACTCGTCGTGGAGTTCATGAAGGAGCTGTGCGTGCGGTCAGCGGCCTTCGCCGAGGACGCAGGCTAGGGGTGCTTCGCTCAGCTGGCGCGGTCACCGAGAGGGTTCATCGTGCTGGGCCCACCGCGGCGATGCTGTGGGGGCGCACTGTCACTGGCGTACCTGATAGGGAGCTGCATACGTGGCGCCTGGCGGCGATACGCTCAGCTGGGAAGTTCCCTAAGGGCGCCTCGCTCGGGCTGAGACTCAGAGTGGTGGAGGTCATGAAGTCCACCGATCTCGACCCGAGCCCCGCGCTGCTTCGTGCCGCGGTGCAGATGGCGGCCAGTCTCCTCCAGTCGGGGGAGGTCCCGCTGCGCATGTTCGAGTCGGCAGTGCAGGAGGCAGTGCAGAGGCATGCTGGGGCAGCAGCCCCTTGGGTGCACTGCCGCACGCCGGTGGATGCCCTGGCCCTCTCGCTCTCCAGGGTTGGCTGGAGGCTTGTTCTCGGGGCCCGCCTCGCAACCGACGACGGCCATCTCCTGGACCTGCGCATGTTGGGGCCGCGTGAGCTGGGCCTGCTGGCTGCTGCAGGGGCACGGCGCGCGTCGGACAAGTCGGAGCTGGCCCGCCTCGGCCACGGGGCGCTCCCCCAGTCGCCCCTTTTCTGGGAGGCCTTCGCGGAGGTCCTCGGGCCTGGCAGCAAGCTCAGCCACAGGGAGAAAGCGGCGGTGGTGAGCTTCCTTTCCAACGCCCACTGGCCCCAGACCCGTCTGCACTCGGCGGGAGAGAGGGAGCACGCTCGCTGCTGTGCATGTCAGGCCCCCCGCGGCAGCCTCTGGCACAGGCTGTTCGAGTGTCCTGTCCTTGCGGGGGCCAGGCGTGACTCTACCTCTGACCGCCTTCGGCGCTGTGCGCATCGTGCACGCGGCCGTGGCGAGGAGGCGGGCGAATGTTTCGCGCGCTGCTGGCTCCCTCAGCCACCGAGGGCCGCCACGAGGACAGACGCCATGTCAGTCATGTGGCGCAATCGCCCTGCTGACGGTCTTCTCGGGGGGCGGCTCTATCTGGATGGGTCGGCGCTTGACCCTGAGCACGAGAGCCTGCGGCGTGCGGGATGGAGCATCGTGCAGTGCGACTCCGACGGCAACATGGAGTGCGCGGTGTACGGCAGCGTGCGCCTGGACCTCTGCCCGTTCCAGACGGCGAAGGACGGCGAGGACTTCGCGGTCTGGATGCTGTCTCGCTTCCTGGGCCCGAGCGTTGACGAGATCCTCATCGACTGCGCGTCCACGGTCAGCTGCCTCACGTTGGGTAAGAAGTACGCGACGGCAGCCAATAAGCCCAACGCCCACCTCTGGGAGGGGATCTACGCGTCGCTAGACGTGGACACGCTCAAGGTGACAAAGGTCGCAGCCCACTGCACCGCCAGAGACGTGATGGATGGCAAGATCACGGAGGCGGACCTCCGTGGCAACGGACATGCAGACCGCTGGGCCAAGGCGGGGGCGGAGCTCCACCGTACCAGCCCAGCTGCCAGGCGCGAGTTCTTTGGCACGATGGAGGTGGTGAGGGACTCCGTGCTTGGGTTGGCGCAAGCCTCCCTCATATGGCAGGGGGATCGAGGTCAAGGCTGCGAGGCCTCCCCGAGGTGCAGCGAGCGGCGGCGCGTAATCCTTCGCAAGTGCACAGTGGGGGAAGGCCCGCCAGCAAGGTCGCCCTCCCGCCCGTGTTCCTGGACGGGTGGGCGTTCGGCGGCGAAGCGTGGTTGGCGTCTCCCTCGGCGACGGCCTTCGTCGTCCGTCGGCCAACGGTCCTGGCCTGCGCCATTGCGGGGAGGTAGCCGCCGAGCAGGAGCTGATGGCGTGCACCCACTGCGGGGCGTACGCGCGGCTGGGCGGGCGATCAGGTGCGGCGCCCAAGCTCAAGGAGCTGTGCCCTGGGTCGGCTGGGCTTCCCAAGGGCAGGAGAGACCAGAAGGCGCGCTGGTTGCAGGGGCGGCACCCTGCTGGCACGCCCCACAGCGGCAGCAAGAGGGTCGGAGCGTCCGTGCCCAGCTTGCGCAAGGAGGACGTGGTGCCGATGGCCGCCAGGGTGCGCTTCCCGGAGTGGCTGGGTGTCCGCCCCGATGATGCACCTGGCGGCGTGGCCGCCGACGCCGGCCGAGGGCCCCCCAGCGGCGCGGCGGCAGCAGGTGAGGCGGAGGCTGAGCCCCTGGCGCCTGACTCCTCGGGGACCTCGAGGGAGGCTTGGCTGAGCGCCTACGGGCTCGACGAAGCGAGCCTCCTTGAGTGGTCAGCCGCAGCAGAGACGGCGCGCGAAGACAGGCGCAATAGACGCCGTCGCGCCGAAGGTGACGAAGGGGAGTGATGCAGCTTCACTTTCCTCTTTCTGTTGTATTCGCCCCTCGTCACCTCTGTTGGCGTGCGCGGGTGGCAGCGTCTTCTGCCCCGCATTGTTGATGCAGCGAGGAGGATGTCAGGCGGATGTGCGCCTACGCCCCGCTGCTTTCTGATTTCTTTGAAATCGTGCGCTTCGCGCTTTTGGCGCTTCGCGCCCTTTCCCTGGCGGCTCTCTTGGGGCCCCTAGGGTTGGCCCTTGAGGCCCTGGGGCCAACGGGCTCTGTGGGCCTCGGGCTTCTTTTAGCCTTTAGCCTTCACTGGCCCCGCAGCTCACAGCTCACAGGAGCACGGCAGACCCCACAGGAGCACGGCAGACCCCACAGGAGCACGGCAAACCACAAAGGAGCACGGCAGACCACAGAAGCACGGCAAACCACACAGGAGCACGGCAGACCACACAGGAGCACGGCAATCCCCACAGGAGCACGGCAGACCGCGCGCAGGTACAACATAAACGCGCCTTTTGTTGTACCCCGAACGCCGCTGGCGTTTCCCCCACAGGAGCACGGCAGACCCCACAAGCTCGCGGGAAACCCCAAATGAGCACGGCAGACCACAGGAGCACGGCAGACCACACAGGAGCACGGCAGACGCCACAGGAGCACGGCAGACCGCGCAGGAGCACGGCAGACCACACATGAGCACGGCAGACCCCACAGGAGCACGGCAGACCCCATAGGAGCACGGCAGACCACAGAAGAGCACGGCAGACCAACAGGAGCACGGCAGACCACACAAGAGCACGGCAGGCCACACAGGAGCACGGCAGACCACACAGGAGCACGGCAGACCACAAAGGAGCACGGCAGACCACACAAGAGCACGGCAGACCCCACAAGAGCACGGCAGACCCCACAGGAGCACGGCAGACCCCACAGGAGCACGGCAGAGCAGACCCAAAAGGAGCACGGCAGACCACACAGGAGCAAGGCAAACCACAGGAGCACGGCAGACCACACAGGAGCACGGCAGACCCCACAGTAGCAAGGCAGACCCCAAAGGAGCACGGCAGACCACCGGAGCACGGCAGACCACACAGGAGTACGGGTCCGTAGCCATTTTGGCTCAAGCGAGCCTGGCTTACGGCAGGCCCTCGGGCGCGCGGGCGCGCCCGCCAGAGGCCATGGTACACTCCGGGTGCGGAGCGGCTTGGGCGTCTGCGTCTGCCCGCACCCTGGCTCGGCGCTTGCGGCGCGCGCGCCGCCAGGAGCTCGGGCTCAGCAGGGCCGCAGCGCTGGCGCAGCGGACCAAGGTCCTGCGGCGTGCGCTGGCGGCGCACTGGCAGCTCGCCGACGTCCTCGGCGGCTTCGCGCCCTGCCACGGCGACGCCTTGGCAGCTGTGAGGCTGCTCGGCGCCGCGCCTGCAGTGCTGATCGATGCCCAGTTCGACCTCGAGGAGGGCAACTGGGCGCGGCACGCGCCGCCTCCAGGACAAGCTCGTCTGCGGCCTGTCCCCACCGAAGCGCGCCGCGCTGAGGTTGCCGAGGCGGCCTTGGCGCAGACCCAGGTCCTGGGCGCTGTGCCGCTCGCGGCGCCCCTGGCCTTGGAGCGGCCGCCTGGAGTGTGGCACGAGGTCTACTCGCGCGAGTGGGGCAACGCGCCAGCCGGCGGCGATGCGAAGGAGCCCTCGGCGCTCTCTGACTTCCGCGTCGAGCCGCGCGCCCTTCCGCTGGCCGAGGTGCTGGCGCCTGGTGCGTGGCAGGGCTTCGACCTCGTCGCGGCGTCCGCGGGCCAGGCCTTTGCGCAGGGGGTTGCGGCGGGCTGGCGGCTCGCTGTTCTGGAGGCTGAGGCCGCGGGCGAGCACCAGCGGGCCGACCCCTACGACCTGTTGCTGGACGCGCTGGGCATCGAGAGCTGCGACGGCGGGAGCGAGGGCGGCGGCGACGGGGACGACGGCGGCGCCTTCGGGGACCATACCGTGCCCGCGGCTGGCGAGTCCTCGCCGCTGCTGTTGTCCGTCAGTGGCCGTCTGGGCGAGGCCGTCAGCCACAACGACAGCGACGACGACAGCGTAGGCGGCCAGGGGCAGGAGCATGCCGACGGCGATGCTGCTACTGCCTGCTCCGCCACCGCTGCGTCGGCGCTCAGTGGAGCGATCGCGACCTACCTCGGCGTGAACGAAGCCGCACTCCTCCGTGGAGACGGAGACGACGGTCGAACTGCCGTGGGATTCGCTGAGCTGGCCGTGCCGACCGAGGACGCCGAGGGCGAAGTGCGGCGATGGCTCGCCGACTGGTCAAAGGTGGCTCACATTTGCTCCCTGCAGGAGCAGCTGGGGGCTGCTAAGAAGGAAGTGCAGCTCCTGCGCTGGAAGGCAGGGTGGCTTGAGATTGACTCCGTCGGGGTGAGGTGCAGGGCAGGCCTGCCGTTCGTCCTCCAAGAGTCTGGGGGCCGCCTCGCCTGGCATGAGTTCTAGGAGCGGGGGCAGGGACTTCGGCGAGGCCCGTTGTGTGTTTCAGCCCTCACGTGAGGTCAGGCCCGTTTGGCTTTGCAATGCGTGTGCTGGCCTTACCTCGAGGTTCGTGAGGCCCTTCGTCACTTGTTGAGAGGGTGGGCCTCGCGTCTCATTTGCAGCGAGGCAGACTTCCTGGCCGTGCTTTGCGTGCCTCAGTCTCCGCTGCTGTCTTGATTTCTTTGAAATCTTGCGCTTCGCGCGTTTGGCGCTTCGCGCCCTCCCCTGCGGAGGCTCCTTCGGGGCCCCTAGGGTTGGCCCTTGAGGCCCTGGGGCCAACGGGCTCCGTGGGCCTCGGGCTCCTTTTAGCCTTCATAGGCCCCGCAGCTCACAGCTCACAGCTCACACAGGAGTACGGCAGACCCCACATGAGCACGGCAAATCCCAAATGAGCACAGCAGACCACAAGAGCACGGCAGACCACACAGGAGCACGGCAGACTCCACAGGAGCACGGCAGACCACAAAGGAGCACGGCAGACCACACAGGAGCCCGGCAGACGCCACAGGAGCACGGCAGACGCCACAGGAGCACGGCGGAACCCACAGGAGCACGGCAGACCGCGCGCGGGTACAACATAAACGCGCCTTTTTGTTGTACCCCGAACGCCGCTGGCGTTTCCCAACAGGAGCACGGCAGATCTCACAGGCGCGCGGCAGACCCCAAATGAGCACGGCCGACCACAGGAGCACGGCAGACCCCAAATGAGTACGGCAGACCCCAAAAGAGCACCGTAGACGCCTCAGGAGCACGGCTGACCACACAGGAGCACGGCAGACCACACAGGAGCGCGGCAAACCACAAAGGAGCAAGGCAGACCCCAAATGAGCACGGCAGTCCACACGTTCGCACGGCAGACCGCACAGGAGCACGGCAGACCGCACATGAGCACGGCAGACCAAGAAGGAGCACGGCAGACCACACAGGAGCACGGCAGACCACACAGGAGCACGGCAGACCACACAGGACACGGCAGACCCCACGGGAGCACGGCAGACCACACAGGAGCACGGCAAACCACACAAGAGCACGGCAGACCATACAGGAGCACGCCAGACCACACAGGAGCACGGCAGACCACACGTTCGCACGGCAAACTCCACAGGAGCACGGCAGACCCCAAAGGAGCACGGCAGTGGTACGTGGCACTGCTGTGGTATGCCGTACTAAAAACGTGGAATATCTCATAAGCCCAGGGGACAAAAGGACGCTTCCCGTTCTTGTCCGGTCAGGTTCCCCAAAATGGCCATTTCGCTCGAGACATCCTCCTAAAATCGAGGTGTGGTCTGCCGTGCTTCTCTGTGTTCTGCCGGGCTCCTGTGGTCCTGGCCGTGCTCCCCACAGAGCCGGAAAAAAAAGCACGTGCAGACGTCGGGAGAACAAGACGAGATCACGCAGACATGCCTGGCTGGCACGGCAGACCAGGCACCAGAGCGCCCTCAGGACGACTGAAAGGTGACCAAGACGAGGATCACGGCAGACTCAAGACGAGAGCACGGCAGACCATGCCCGAAGAGTGCCCTCAAGACGCCGAACAATTCATAACAACATGATTCTAACGTCGTCTGAAGACGTTTTTTGAGGCATCGTACCGGGCCCCCCAAAACAAATTCCTGTGTGGTCTGCCGTGCTCACGGTGTGGTCTGCGGTGCTCCTGTGTGGTCTGCCGTGTTCCCTCTTGGTCTGCCGTGCTCATGTGCGGTCTGCCGTGCTCCTGTGCGGTCTGCCGTGCGAACGTGTGGACTGCCGTGCTCATTTGGGGTCTGCCTTGCTCCTTTGTGGTTTGCCGCGCTCCTGTGTGGTCTGCCGTGCTCCTGTGTGGTCAGCCGTGCTCCTGAGGCGTCTACGGTGCTTCTTTGGGGTCTGCCGTACTCATTTGGGGTCTGCCGTGCTCCTGTGGTCGGCCGTGCTCATTTGGGGTCTGCCGCGCGCCTGTGAGATCTGCCGTGCTCCTGTGGGGGAAACGCCAGCGGCGTTCGGGGTACAACAAAAGGCGCGTTTATGGCCCAGGATGTCCTCAGGACGGCCTCGAGACGGCCTCCAGACGAACTCGAGGATGACGGGAAGCGCCTCCGGCGTGCACCGTTGCTTCTGGGGCTTAACTTTCTCTAACTAAGGGGTACGGGCCCGCATGCACTTCGGAACTCGCTGGCGGCGGCTTGCGGCAGCAGAGGGACGCGGGCACCCCGAGCCAGCCGGCACGGGTCCTCCTGCTCGTCGTCGTCGTCGTCGTCGTCTTCGTCAATAACGATTTCGAAAATTACGACAAAAAACGATGACAGAAAACGACAACAAACATAACACAAAAACCAACCGAACACGGAATCCAACAACAAAAAACAACCAGAAAAACGACCGCAATCATAAAATGATAACGACGGCGACAGCGAGAACGGCAACAGCGGACGATTATAATGAAAACGACGACCACGACAAAGGAAAGGCACGCGACGACGACGACGGACAAACAAAAGACAAGACAGTCTGGAACAGAAAAAGTAGGCTGGGCGACAACGGGTGGGGGCCCGCGTGGCCGAGAAAGCACGTGTCGACTCCATGATTTTGTCCAGGGCCGCAGATCTACCCTCGACAGCCGCGCGGCAGCCATCATTTTAGGTATGTTCTGTTCGTTTATGGTTTTTCTCTGACGTTCTCGCCAATACGGTCTCTGACGCACGTGGTGGATAAAAAAAAGGCGCTTCCCGTTCTTGTCCGGTCAGGTTCCGGAAAATTGCGGGAAAATGGCCGTTTCGCTCGAGACATCCTCGAAAAATCGGCTCCGGAGAGAACTCCGAACCGGCATTATCTTCGAGTCGCTCCTGGAGGCCTTCAAAACGGCCCCAAAGAGCCCTCAAAGGCCCCGATACGGCCCAAAAGGGCCCCGAAACGGCCCGAGAGGACCCCAAGACAGCCCCAAGAGAGCCCCAGGAGAGCCCCAAGAGCCACCCAAGAGGGCCCCAAGAGGCCGCCAAGAGAGCCCCAAGACGGCCAAAGGCGTCCAAGAGTCTCCAACACGGCCCGACAGGGCCCCAAGACGGCCCAAGAGGGCCCCAAGACAGTCCCAGAGGGCCCCCAAAGGGCCCCAAAAGGACCCCCAAGAAGGCCCATAGACGCCACATGATAGAGCGATCGGTAACGCAAAAAGCTCTCCACACCAAGGCTCCCAAGAGCGACCGGTGACGTGACAAGCTCGTGACATCAAGGCTCCGACGAGCGAACGGTGACGTGAACAATTCTCGACACCAGGGCTCCCAGAGCGAGCGGCAACTTAAAAAGCGCTTCACACCAAGGCTCCGAAGACACACCCTCCAGGGACGAAGTTGGCGGCTTTTTCGGCCCAGGACGGCTCCACAGACCTCCACGACGGCCCCGGAGCGCTCCAAGAGGTTTCCAAGACGGCCCCAGAGGCGCCCAAGAGGCCCCAAGACAGCCCAAGAGCGCTCCAAGAGAAGCGAAGATGGCCCCAAGTCGAAGCGCCTCCGGCGTGCACCGTTGGTTCAGGGGCTTAATTTTCTATGATATTTGAATAATTTTTGAAGGTTTTTGGGGTTCTCGCCTTTTCCGTTTCCCGACGCTCCAAGACGGCCCAAGAGGCCCCCAAGATCGCCCCAAGACGGCCCAAGAGGCCCCCAAGATCGCCTCAAGACGGCCCAAGAGGCCCCCACGACGGCCCCAAGAAGGCACCAGAAGGCCCGAAGGCGGCCCCAAGACGGCCCCAAGAGGCTTCGCGGCGGCCCAAGAGGCCGTCAATATGGCTCCTGGAGGGGGCCCAGACGAGGTACACGAACGGACGGACTTTTCGGGTCCTCGGCCCCAAGTGCCCCCCCGGAGGGTCCAGGAGGCCCCCGAGAGCCCCCCAAGACGCTCCAAGAGGCCCCCAAGAGGCCCCAAAAAGGCCCCCAAGAGGCCCCCAAGACGGCCCCCAAAAACGGCCCCCAAGAGGCTTCAGAATTGCTTGTAAGAGGCCTACGACAGACCGACCACGACATCCCAAGGCTCCACTACGAACGATGACGTGGGCAGCTTCGAACGCCAGAGCTCCCAGTACAAACGCTGGCGTCCAGAGCTTGACGACAAACACTGCTATGAGCAAAAACGGCGCTTCCCGTTCTTGTGCGGTCAGGTTCCTGAAAAATGGCCGTTTCGCTCGAGACATCCTCGAAAAATCGGCTCGGGAGGGGACTCCGAACCGGCATTATCCTGGAGTCGCTCCCGGAGGGCCTCAAAACTGCCCAAGAGAGCCCCCAAAGGCCCCCCAGGGGACCCCCAAAACGGCCCAAGAGACCCCCAAGAGGCCCTCAAGAGGCGCCCAGAGGCCCCGCCACCTGAACAACATCCGGGTGCCGACGATGGACAGCTATTGGCAGGAACGCGAGGCGGCGGCGTAGCGACGCGGTTGCAGCATCGCTCAGGAGGAGGAAACGTTTCGCAACCCTGCGTGATGCAAGCAGTCACGGCTCGTTCACCAGCCAAAATTTCGAAGTTTCAGTGTTTGACATTTTTGTAGGCTGTAGGCACTTCCCAGTTTGTCAAAACATGTTGCCGTCGCACAGCGGTGCAATTGAATGAGTGATTTCCCTAGACACGGCGATTCGCAACAAATGCGAAGCCGTCTCATGTGGATGATCGTGTTGGCGCATGTTGCCAGATATCCAGGTCGCTACCTTCGCAGTTTTTGTTTGGATCTGCAGACACGTCGATTCCCAAACATGCTTACAGGAGGAAGATATTCATGTCTTTCTTGCAGAATTGCTGCTTATCGATTCCTTGACGCATGGATTGGGATCGCTCTCACTTCGCGGCACAGTCTGGGGCACGAGGGTCCTCATTCTGCAAGCGTTTTTCCAAGTGGCTGCGTCGCAGGTCATGCGCAAAATTATCCCGGCAAAGCAACCTAACAGCCATGTGTAGGAGCATATCTGGCAGCATTCCCTCAGCCTGCATCAGCCTCAGCCTCAGCACGAAGCGACCCAGCTAGAAGGACAAAGCGCTGAATGTACACCGATGTGTTCGACGACTGCGTATGTAATGATGTGACGATATAGAGACTGAGCCCTTCGTGAATGTCTACATGTTTTTCTGACGCCTACAAACGGCGCTGACGTGTGTGAGAAAATTGTCCGCGCAGCAAAAGCCGGCGAAGCGTGCGGGAGCTCGCATGCTGAGACAGACTACGTCTGCAGACCGCCAGCTGCAAAAGCTTGCGAGCGGCTCTTGGAAGATGTTTACGGAACGGAGCTACGGAGCTCACCGCAGGAACTCGCATACTGAAAAGGAATGCATCGAAACCGCACGCTGCGAACCCTGCAGGCTGAGAAGCACCGCAGGATGTCGCATGCTGAAAAGCACTTGTACTGCAGAGCGCTAGCATTCCATCTCGGGCTCGGACCCCCTCCGTCCTGATCCAGAACGTGTCCGCGACACGTGCAGGCTCACCGCGCACAGCTGCACACGAGCGCAGGCTGAGAAGCACCACGCGCATGCAGGCTGAGAAGCACCACGCGAATGCAGACGGACAGACTGAACAGGACCGCCACAACGCAACCTGCATCTCATGACTCCTCAAGCTCGCGCAGGCCATCCCAGTTGCTGTCGGGCCTTCGCGCAAGCGATCTTCGTCGCGGCAATCTTGTCCGTGAAGAGCTCGGCAAAGGCCTTGGCGATCTGTTCCGGGGGGCCGGATTCGATGATGTTCCGGTCAGGCAAGCCGTGGCTCAAGAGTTGGTTGAAGCTTCTGGGGCGCGACAGGCTGACGTAGTAGGCAAGCCAAATGGACTCCTTCTTGAGTCCAGGCGGAAACGTCCAGTGCACGATGAAGCCTGGGTCCGTCGTCTTGCCCTGGACGCCATGCAGAGTCCCCTGCTTTTTGGGCAGCACGGTCAACTGCGTCCTGGACACCGCGATGGCCGGGCCACCTGTCTTCGCTTTGAACTTCCAGGGGCGCGCCTGCGGGGTGATCGCGAGCACTCCGCGCAGGTCGGGGCCGGCAGGCTGAGAAGCACTGCCAGCTGTCACCGGCGCGGCCTTCAAGAAAAGTTCATCGCTGTCATCGATCTTGACATAGACGGCCTTTGGCATGTAGTAGAGTACGACCACGCCGTCCGAGACAATGGACGGGCGGCCCTCCACCGGAGGCTCCAGAGCGTGCAGCTCTATGCCTACCACTTTGCCTGGCGCGCCACGGACATACTTCGGCGGCAAGACGGATTCTGTCAGGATGACCTCCATGCCAACGAAGAGCGGCAGCAGCCCCGGCATTTTTGCGGTAGCGCCGATGTTGGGCTCCGCGCGCATCTCGTCGTAATCAGGCTTCGCGAGGCGCGCAGCTGGTCTGTCGATTGCTGGGACGTAAAAGAGCAGCTGGCCAGCATCGTGCGCATCAAGCTTGGCCTGTGCATGCATGGCGTAAGAGACGATGCGCCACTCATAGGCCGACTCGTACCAGCCTCGTGCTGCACGCAACCGAGGGTCCCACTGAGGTGGCTGAGCGGCTTGGCTGCTGCTGGCAGCAGGCTGAGCAGCACCGCTAGAGCTAACGACCTCTGTTTTGACGATCGCCTGCCAGCTCTCGTCAGAGATCTTTTTTCCGCCTGGAGTTCTCATGGCGTGGAGAACCTCGAGTTGCAACGGGTCTGTAAAGCGCTGCATCTGCACGAAATCGATGACGTACTCGATGTCGGCGAGCAACTTCCTACCCTGTTGGTGTTCGTAGGATTGGCCCGCGTGAGGCGCCAGCAGGGAAGCGGTGGCGGGGACTGGCGGCAACTGGTAGAAGTCTCCGCACAAGATCTTCACAGGCATGCGTCCCCACGTCTCCTGCGGGCGCATGTACTTCGCGGGGTCCAGGTTGTAGCGCAACGCCCTGCCGTAGGTCGTGCGCAGTGCATCTGCATGCAGCAAAGGCCCCGGCACAGCACCCAGCTCATCGATCACGTCGACGCCGAGTGTGCCTGTGAGGCGATCCAGCTTTTTCTGCGTCTGTGGGGTCAGGCGCAGCCTGGCTGTCTGCATGGAATCCGACATGAGCAGGCCATTGGAGGAATGCATGGTCCTGCCGCGCGGGCCGAGGTTGTGTGCGGCGTGGTTGGACTGCGCTTTGCCGAGGTACCCCTGCTCGCCGAAGTAAGTGATGGCCATCGGCTCCACCACTTTGGAGAGGGTGCGCGTCTTGCCGACACCGCCTCCACCGAGCCAGATCGCTCTGTGGTTGCCTGTCGCGGACGCCGCGGGGAGGAGATGCGTTGTCTTGTCTGGTCTGCCGTCAAATCGTTTCTGCAGAGACAACGCAAACAACGCCACCGCGTCAATCTGCTCCTCCGTGCAGTGGGCATCAGTGACGAGCTTCCACGCAACAGCCGCCGGGCCCTGCATGGCCAAGAGCTGCGGAACGAGTTCTGGTTGGGCGTCCTCGGCAGCAGGCTGAGGAGCACCGCTGGGGAGCCAGTCGTCCGCAGCATCGGGCAAGATCTCTCCATCCGGGCTCGCTTGCTTCTTTTGGAGCGCAATGCTTTGCCGCTGTAGGGCGAGCATGTCAGAAAAGGTCTCGTCCAGCCGCGTGCCCTGATGTTCCCGCGCGCCGCTGCTGGCTGGCAGTGCAAAGCTGGGCTGCAGCATGCCGCTGTACGCTCGGTCGAGGTTCTTCAACTGCTTATCGGCGTAGCTGAGGCGGCCCTTCTGGTCCAAGCGCTGCAGTTGGTCTTGCTGTAGGGCCAGCTCGGTTGCTCTGACGTGGTCCCGCAGCGGAAACCGGGAGATCTCGGTAATCGCGGCGTCCTCCACGTCCTCCTCTACGTCGCTGCCGCCGCCTCCACCCACGTCAACGAGCTCCAGCGGGACTCGCCCCTTGAGCCCTTCGGCATCGCTCGCGGAGTCTTCATCCGCCTCGAGGTGTGCAGTCGTTGCTGGCCGAGGCTTAACCCGCGCCTCCGCCGCGAGGTCCACGTGCGCCAGCACGTCTCGCGCCACGTGCGCGCAGAACTCCGCCAGGGTGCACTGTTCCTCGTGCCACCGGCAGTGGTGGTCACTGAAGGCGAGGATGCGCCGTGCCGCCTCCGCTGGCATGCGCCGCGCCAGCTGGGACCTTGCGAAGTGCGCTAGGCTGAGGAGCACCAGCTCGCCCTCCTCGAGGTTCGCCCGGGGCTCTTTCACCTCGGAGAAGAGGGTCGTGTCCGCGAGCACGAGCCTCTTGCGGGCAAGGCGGCTCCTGGAGTCTGCGCGCGCTGCCAACACGTGGATCTCCGCGCACCGAAGCCGCCGCGCCCGCTCGAACGAGTATGGGCGCACGGCGGGGCAGTCGCAGTTCCTCAGCATATGGCTGTACTGAGTAACGCAGCCACAAGAGAGGGGACACTCGCACGCCCAAGGCGGGAAGAGGAGGGCCTTGAAGAGCGAGTTCTGCTCGGGGTCCTGTGCCCAGGTCGGGCACTGGAAGCCATCGATGGTGGGGGCGGAACTCCGCGTCAAGTGGACCTCCTGCATGTACCGCGGAGCCAAGACGTAGTGGCTCTCGAAGGCGAAGAATCGCGGTCCAGAAGCTTTGACCCGGCTCGGCTTCAGGACTCGCCGGACGTACATCCTGTAGACGTAGTACGGCATGGTCTGCAGGCGAGGGCCTCTGTGGGCGTAGTCGTCGGCCGTGTTCGTGCTGGTGGTGCACACGTGCATGTCCTCACACTCCGCACCGCCACCTTGCTCATCACCAGCAGGGGTGTCTCCAGGAGGCTGAGGAGCACCGCTGGTGTCACCTGCTGCGTCCTCCTCCTCGTTGTCGGGGTCAGGGATCTGGATGCGGACTGCTTGTATTGGCACCTGATCATTATGCGTCTCCCCGCCCGAACCTTCATGGTTTAGCAAGCGTTTGCACTGCTGGCAGGCCCACTGTAATTGTCTCGTGAAGAGCCGCACATTGTGGTGCGACTGGAGGCAGTCGCCGCCTGTGAGGACATGCACGGCCACCTCCGTCGTGGAGAGCCAGAAGCACCGGTTCGCCATCGACGCCAGGCGGATACAGACCCGCCGAGCGCGGCGAGCGAGATCCTCGCGCGTCCGGCCCCGTTTGGCAGCGTCTGGTCCTCGCCATCAGC